TTTATACATAAACCGTAAATGGAAAATGGGTTTAATTAATTTAAAGTTTCGATAGCCTCTCAAAAAATTTTTATACATAAACCGTAAATGGAAAATCGGTTTAATTAATTTAAAGTTTGATAGCCTCCCAAAAAAATTTTTTAGGATCTTTGACTTTACTCTTTATGACTGAATCAAAAGATTTTCATCTGTTTGTGACTTGTTAAGGCAAAACTTGAAACAGGACTTAATAAATGTAGTCTATATTAAGTCTGCACTGCAAAAAGTTTAATATACTTTGTAGTGAAACAAAGTATTTTTCTAATAGATTTATTTTTACTTCCCAAGTGGAAAATTAACTTTGCTATCATAACCGTTGTAACTTATACTTTTTGGCCAGACATTAAAGCTGAGTGGTTGGCACTGAAGCTTTGTGTTCAGGTGGTCACAGATTTAAATCTCAGCCTGAAGACCAGCTGTCCTGATCCAGGTTTTTGCTTAACCATTTAGTCTGTAATTTAATTTATTTTTCACACATTGTTATAATTTCAGTTATGCCCAGAAGTCTGTAAAGGGAAAAAAGAAATGGATTGTTTTGTAACCTTCAGCAGTGTTATTTGTACCGACAGAGTCTTGCTTTGCTCTGGCAAGAGGAGCTCAAAGAATGTAGAAAATATGTGAGACTTTATTCTTTGCGTTTCTAGTTGGTAATGAACGCAGCCTTGGGGTTTGATACGTACCTCGTGATGCGACATGGTCTGAAGTCTGATGATGCAGTTAATTCTACTCCTGACTGCTCTGACAAGTCAATTCCTGGTCACAAATTAGGATGCTACTTTTGTAATGATGTTACTGCACCAGGAAATGTAAGTGCATTGCTGCTGTAATGATGTTTAGATATTAATGTATGGAAGTTAATAATAAGGTGAAGAGCACTTCACATGTTGCATGTCACATTTAATTTTTACAGTCAATTCCTGCATGTGATTAATATACTTTGTTCCAAATCACAAATATCTGATCTTACAGCCCATTAATTCTGTGATGTATGGTATCACAACTGACCTCCTTTGCTAATAATAAGAATTGGCTTGCTTGTAATTTAGCAGAGAATAAAAATTATTTGATGCTTATGCATCTGCTAACGTTTGTTGTCAGTCCCAGAAGGACAGAACTCTCGATCAGCAATGCACAGTTACGAGGCCTGGAATCTCTTCAATAGCCGGTGGATTAACAGTAGAGCTTATGGTGTCTGTTCTGCAACATCCTATGAGGTAATTAAAATGGTATAAATTGGCATACTTTGCTTATTATGTAAGGTATAAGATCAACTGTATTTGTCTTTTCCCCTTTACATCAATATATTTTTAGACTTTGTGCCTTGTGTGACATGTTGTGAATGTCATGTTACTAAAAAGCCAACCCACCACCCCAAATACATATTTTTATTTCTCATTTTCTATCATCAGTAATACTTAGTTACTATGCATTCTTGTTTGGTAAGAACAGTGTCACTTGATGTAGGTTGTATATCTTCGAAAGTATGCAGCTCCTGTTATGGTAATTTTATGTAGAATGTAAAATATAGCAGCCACATGAAATCTGTATTTAGTTAAAAGTAACTATTGACCACAACTTTAGCATATTCACATATTCATATGAACAGAATAGGTTGTGAATATTTAAAAATTGTTAGTGAGCATGTTTTTTAAGAATTACAGATTGACGGTGTTAATATTTAAAAATTGTTAGTGAGCATGTGTTTTAAGAATTACAGATTGACGATGTAATAAGACTTCCAACAAAAAACATTCTGTAGACTTCTATATAGGGTAGAAGAAAATTTATATTTGTGAGGAGAATTACACCTAGAATTTGTATCTGAATGCGTAGTAAAATCATTTTTCCTCAAAATTTGCCCACTAGGAAAGGGAATCATCTTGTAGTCTGGTAAATAGATATTTCGTTTGAAATATTTTTATTTCTTTTACTACACATTATTTAGTTTAATTTTATTCCTTCTTTGTGGGTTATTTCAGAGGCTATGCACCTGCTAACTGCGTAGAGGAACCTTTCAGTGAAGCTAGTGAAGAAGCGAGTCCTCTGGGTTTGGTACCACATTCTATTCGAGGCTTTCTTGCACAGTTCCAACAAGTTCTACCGGCCAGTCACATGTTCTCACGCTGCATTGCTTGTTCAGACAAGGTGTGGTAGTTAACTGAATAACAAGAGAGGTATTAAAGCGTAGAAATAAACGTAACAGTATTTTCCCCTTAATCAGCAAAAATTCTGACACATTACTAGATACTATCACAATTAATTGAGAGTCCCCTAATTAGTGTTGTACATAAAAAAATGATTTGACATATTGACAGATGAAAGGCATCCCAAATAAATTACTACAAGTAATAATCAATTTCTGAAAAATACAATAGAGTAAGAATTTCATTTATTTCAAAATTATTTGTATTTTGCACTCATTAACCAGGAACTGGGGTAGCTCGGTCATTAATGGCTGATACAGACTGGGCATATGGGTCCCGATTCATGGCAGGTGCAAAGGATTTTTCATTCAGTTTCTGCGCCCAAACTACCTGTGGGGCCCACACAACCTTCTTTCCAGT